TTGCTGTCCGTCGTCTGATTCCTTTATGTTCATCCTTAAGAGTCTGTATTTCATGTGATTTATAATTTTTCCTCTTTTTTCCCTTGTCGTTGTTGCGCTCTGTTTGATTTTTCTATATTCAACCTTAAAAGTATGTATTTTATGTTATTTATAATTTTCCCCCTTCTCCTTTCCTCTTTCTGTTTTCTTCCTTTTGTTTTTTTTTAATTACATCATACATGTTTCATTTTCAATTGGGGAAAAATAACAATGTGGACTCTTTTTTTTTCCTTTTTCTTTCGGTTATACGCTGTGACTTCCTTACGTATCTTCTCCGCTCCTTTAGATATAGAGACAGAAAATCGAGAGTAATCTTTACTACTATAATGCAAGTTTCTTTTTTTACTTTTAAAAATTATTGTCATTAAATGATTTCTCCCCTATAAGACTTAACAGCTGTTTACAGATGCATTATTATATACAGAGTAGATTTCTCTACGTATATTTATTCATGTAGCATAGATGAGAAGGAAATAGAAAGGGACAGAATTTTTCTTCTGTTCAGTCCAATGCGCCAGGGTGTGCTATCCCTGGTGGTGATTATTTTTGTCAGGATCCGAGTCAGATAAAACGTCTGTTAAAATAGGAAGGAATCCCACATCTACTGTAGACTATATGTACAGAAAAAATAAGCGTAGTACATATTAATAAATTTCTTAATGTGTGAAGAATATCAGATTCTAGCATGCATACGTGTCGAATTTTACTGTTGGAGTGAGACATTTATTCGACAAGCAGGCATTAAATTTAAATGAGCACCCCAAGGACCAGAATGAATCTATATGTAATGAAATCGCACAGAAAAGGGCAGGAAACTCGGATGACGAAATTAAGGACAGGCCAAAACATATTCCACAGAGAAATGATAATACAATAGAGCGAAAATCAACAGACTATTTTCCTGAAATTGAGAACAGCCTGTATCATAACCCTTTACCAAATTAAAATACTAAAGAGAGGGAATTAGCACACCGTTATTTCCACAATTATAGACAACTTATATGAGAAATGAGAGAAGAGTGTGAACCCAACAGAGGAATTCCCCCAAAATTCACAGGACCCACCTAAGTTAAATGAAGAATACTAGATCGTTCTCAACAATTTTAAGGAACAAGATATAAATGAAATAATCGATTCGGTGTATGATAATTTATTCGGGAAGGCGATGCTTGAGGGAGGGATAAGTTTGCAAAAAAATGCCAAAAGGACGATGCACACCTTGAACGAGCATTTATCATATTATTTGGGAAAATTAAAAAGTCCGTATAGCGTGGATGGGAACATTGAGGTGGAACACGTGCAGAGGAGCAATCATACTATTCACACAACCATGAGGATCATGGAGGACTATCACAATAGGCTGTTTTTGTACTACGCCATAAAGGATAATTTGTCCGAGTACGATAATGACTCTTTTATAAAGGTGCATAGGGAAGCGTTTACCTTATTCATAAATGAGCTAGTTACTATGGACGAGCCTCAGTTAAATAGATGTGTACTCGAGTCAGGGATACTCAGGGTGAGAGCCCACAGATAACCGTTGCGAGAAACACGCTGAGCCGTAGGTACACATGTATATGCATATATAAGATGCTAATAATAGCAAGAATAAATATTCTTGTACCTATATGCTTATATATACAATTAACTGATAAAGTCTTCTTTATTGGAAACAGGAACCAAGTGGATTATACAGCACCGTTTCAGCAATGATCGGTGCCAAAGTGGCATCGTGACTGTATTTTTCGCCATGGAAAAGTATTTAAATATTGGAAGACAAATATATGTGCTGTGTGTATTTTGAAGCAGACAGTGAATTAAATTTATATGTAAAGTTTGTCAATTTCCGTTTCTTTAAATCATGATATCAGACCTATCATCGGTTGATCTAAACTCTGTTAATGTTTTCTTCTTTCTCCTGAAGCATTTATACATACATGATATGC